ATTCATTGAGTTGAATGTTAAATGTCGAATTAGAAATAATTTGCAAAGGAAAATATTCCTTCTCTTACTTAATAGTCATATTTAAATATTATATATACTTTTTATGAAATTTCAATTCATTATAATGTTTTTAAGGCGCTAGTTGAAATTTTGTAAAATTAAAGTATAAAATGTTTAGCAAGTATTTACAAGTTTAGAAAAGTTGAAAAAAATGGAGAAGCTATGTTAAAATTTTCATAGAATTTTGAATAACTTGTTAAGATAGTGTAAAATTAATTTATATTAGTGTTTAGTAAGTGTTTGCAAAATTTGAATGCTGAAAAAAAAATTATCAAAGTTTTTTGTAAAATTTTGAATACTTAATTGATCAATTTTTAATAAATAAAATATTAAACAGTGGACATTACGTATCAATGTTAACTTGTTAAGTAACGTTAATAGAGCAAATAGATTAGAATGTAATACTTGATAATTTCTAACATTATGCGTCTATTAATTTTGCTTAATAGTTTTTTACTGTTAAATTATTTTATTTTAGTAATTTAGTTTTAATATAAGAAATAATTCTTTAAACTTCATTATTATGATAAGAAAATCTTGATTAATAATACGTTACAATTAATTAAGGCTAAGGAATAATTATTATTTTTACTCTTAGAAAACTTGGGAGTATGAGAGAGATAAGGCATGCTCCTTGCGTAAATGACGTGTATATTTCTAAGTTGTACTATAGTGGTTGAAATTTGAAAATTTCCTATGCAAATGGAATGGTCTTCGGCCACCGTTTGAATCATACCACCAACCAAATATACCTACTAATAATCTTCGGAATCCAAATCTCACTGTACAAATTTTTTAGGTGCACGTGATAATTATTCTAATAGTGTAGATTGATTGATTTATATTTCGTATATTTAGTTTTTAATTAGTCAACAACAGTATTCAATAAATTGCTAAACATTACAATTATGTGAGATGAATATTCATAAATTCAATAATTAATTATTGGTATGTGTTTAAATATGGCAATTTTCAGTAACGCTTGCGAAACATGATCAAGAGTGTATTGAGCATGGTATTTTAATTTAGTAGAAAATTTATTTTTCTTATTAAAATGATTGTTTGAAAAAAATAGTTCTGTTTGATAAGATAATTAAAATATATTGTCATTAATTTTTGTTAAAATGCTACTTTAATCATTAAAAAAATGCTGTTTATTTCGTTCTTAGCAGAAAATGATTTTTTTTTTTAAAATTTCTAATAATTTCTTATTTTACTTCTTCAACATTTAAAACTCTACAATCTTGAATTTTTTATCTTTAATATTTTTAAATTAATTTTATCATTAAATTTTTATAAAATGTAGCAAAATTATTTATTTTTATTTTTATAACATATTTTAAATAAGAGTAAAATTAAGAGTTATAAATTATTAAAACTTAAAATAATATTTACTAACTTTTCAAGTTTGGACAAAAAATTTATCTATCATTTCATATTTATCAATTAGCTTAATAATTAAACTAATTTTATCAAACATTTTCAATTAAAGACTCGTTTATTTCATTTTTTTGAATGAGTCTAATATAAAAAAATGATGTGTTTTAATATAGTATCTATATAACTTTATTTTTTGGAAGCTTTTCAAAATTAATGTTTTATCAATCATTTTATATTTATAAATCAGTTTAACAAATAAACTAAATTTATCAAACATTTTAAGGATACATTTACTTTTTTAATGAGTTTAAGAATATAAAAAAATGATGTATGAGGAGAGTAACTATAATGTTTTTTCGGAATAACTTCTAGAAAAAACTAGAATTATATTATTTTAAATTTATTTTTTATAATATTTGTAATACTCTTATTTTTATTATTTTATTTTTAAATAGAGAATTTTTAAAATTTAAAAATTATGAAAAATCTCATCCAAACAAGATTGGTTTTTTTGAACCAAGCATTTAGGGTATTCTTACTTAGACAAAATGAGTCTTCTTAAGTAAAAATGAATAATATTGTCCCAATTGTCCTTTCGCTCATGTAAAAGGACATAGAAAAAATGAATGAGTTCTCTAAACTATGCTCCAATTTTGTATAAGGCAATGTTTGACTATGATCACAGTCTAAGAAAAAGTGCATATATAAGAAAATGATAGACTGTAATATATGTTTTATATACATTAATTATGATATTACTAATGTGTTTATTATTGTATTTGATACTATGAATATTCAAATTATTATGTTAATTATGTTTTTAGTAAAAAAAGATGACCACTTCTCAAAGACCCATTAAGCTAACTGGGTGGACTCTAGAAAGTAGATTAAATTATGTATTTAAAGAATGACAACGAGTCTGTCACTATAAATTTGTAATAGATAATGAAAATAGAATTGAAAATATTTTTACCTTTGAGATGACAATAGAGTACAATATTCTTTTGACTATCCTACTAATAGTATATTATATCACACCCTCAACTTGTACATATATAGAGAACAATTCAAACACTAAATGCTTTAAATTTTGTTTATACTTTTAATAACTACGATCTCATGGGAAGGCCGACAACTTTTATCCAAGAGTAAATAAGTGATACAAAGGTCTTTATAGATACTAAAATTTTTTATAATGAACACTAACATTAGAAAAGTTAAAAGGAATAAAGAGTTGGCTTGAGGATGATAATTAAAATTAGATCTTTCAAATTGTTTATATTGAGATAGATTATTTATTTAATTAGCAAGTTATAATGTAATGATAAATATTTATCTTTTATCATTTTAATACATGTACTTTTTCATAAATTGAGTAATAAAAATAATTTTTTAAAATTTTTTTTATCAAATTTTCACATTACAAGCATAAAAAAATTCACTTTATTTTTCTGATTCGTTATAATTTATTTCATAAATTTCATAAATAAATTAAGAGTGTTAAATTTATTAAAATATTTTAAAGATTTAATGAGTTTAAAAATATAAAAAAAATGATGTATGTTAACAGTAATTATAATGTTTATTATTTTTAGGCAGCTATTCAAAATCACTCTAAAAAACCTAGAATCATATTATTTTTAACTTATTTTTTTATAATCTCAATTGAACATCTAAAAGAATTGAGAAGTAATTATTTTTTTAAAAGGTTATTTTTCAAAATGTAAAGTAAAACAAACAAATTTTAAATTTAGTAGTCTTTCAGCTTTTATATTTTAACTTTTAGCTTTTATCTTCGGTTAGTTTATTTGTTAATTTTACTAAATACATCCTCCCTATTAATTTATTATATTTAATTATATAATATTGTGTGCTTGATTTGAATACGATAATATTTATAAAATTATGTTGCATAAATTCAAATATATTTTCATTGTTGTATTAATATATTTGGTCATTATAAAATCATTGCAATAAGTTTCCAAAACGAAAACTTTTAAAAGTACTGATTTAATGATTACGGTAGATTCATTGGGACTAATTAATATATATATATGCTTTCTAAGACATATTTTAACAAGTCTTTGTTTAATTCAAGTAAAATATTAAAATAATAAAAACATTAGCTTTCATAATTCATTTAATAAAATATATAAACATTTATTAAATATTTTTTAATTTTGGTGCATTCTAAACGTAAAATATTTATATTGTTAATAAATTAAAATATTTTGTAAATATAATTTTTATATTAATTATTAAAAGTATATAATTTTTATTGATATATTAATTCTTTAAATAACAGTGTCTATGTATTTAAAATATATTTTGTTAAATATAAAAGTATAAAAAAATATATATGATCAATCATAAATTAATTAAAAATTATGAATTAAAAAATAACATATGCCTATTTTTACGGGTGAGTACAATAAAATATTCAACAATCTTAAAAATATTATTTTCTAATTTAAAATATAAATCAGATTGAATAAATAAATATTATTAACAAGGATGTGTATTTATTACAAAGATTTTGTATTTACTAAATTGGAAGCGAAACTCTTTTTCAAAAATCAAAATATCACTTTATTGAAATTTGGGACTAAACATATTGCGTTGTTAATCATTTAAACTTTTTGAGATATTAAATTTCGAAATCTTTATAGACATTTAACTTTTTTAATTGTTATATATATTTATCTTTTTCAATTGCTACAGTCAAGTTAAATCACTCTGTCAATTGTTCTCGATTTAAAAATTTTATTTTATTTTAATCGTGGTAAATTCAACCCATTCAATTATCTAAATAAAGTTTATTACAATTGATAAATAATTAAAATTTTTACGATATATATATATATATATATATATATATATATATATTCATTTTATTGAAAGCACAAAATTTTAATAATTTTTATTCTTCAAAAAATATCTCTAATTATAAGTTGGAGATAGCTTGTAAAATATTTAAAAAATGTTTATAGTGCCTCTATGACAAAAAAGAAAACTTGAATCTATCTCTACAATTATGACATTTTGTTTTGATTTTGTAACATAAATTTTAGGAATTTTCTACTAAATTAAATTAAATTTTTGTCACTAATTATGCAATCAAATAGTTTTTTATTAATTAATTATTTAATCAATACTTAAATTTTTATTAATATTTCATATAGTAAAATAATAATAAATCATTATTAAGATAATAATTAATTAATAAAATTAATTTTTTATATTAATGCTTTTATATCATATGTATCTATAAAATTTTATAATATACAATACACATACATACTAACAATGTATATTGATATGTTCATTTTTAGTCGTATCCGCGAACCACGATGGACTTTTTTTTTTATTATTATTACTTTTTAGACTTTGGAAACTTCCCAAGGCCGGTGACCATATGAACGGTGAACAGAGCACCCAAAAACACGGCATAAATATGACGTGGACTAATGAAAAGATGACACGTATACGTTGGGACCCACTCACACGCATCCCTATGAGCGAACATCGCATATAAATGGGATCCATTTCTACAGTTTTGCTCGTTCAAAGCACGCTCTCTCACGCATAGCCTCAATTTTCTCTATCCTTCTCCTTTCGCATTCTCAAAACCCTTTTGATTTGTGAAAGGTAAGTTCACGAATCTTAGCTTCGTTTCACAATCTTTCTCAGATCTGAAAAAAGTTGTGATTCTCTCTTTCTCTTTTCTCAATTCGCTCTTCAGATCTACTGCTGTATGATTATGTCTTCTATTCAGTTTCGAATTTTCTCCGTTTTGTTTGTTGGTTTTTGATTCTGCTTGACGCATAGTTTTGGTGTGCGCTGTTGTTTACTGGTCGATCCCATTCGTTTCGAGTTTGTTTGTGCTTGTGGCGTTACTGTTTTATTGTTAAATCCGATGGTAGATCTGTGTTGTTTGTTCTTGTGTGATTCGATCCAGAATGGCTTGATCTGTATGCAGAATCTGTCTTTGACTTGGTTCCTAGTATAAAGGTCATAGTTTTTGCTTTAAGGTGATGGATCTTTTTATTTTTATTTTTATTTTTATGTTTATGTTTATGTTTAACTAGAATCTAGGATTTTAGGTTTTTTAATGGCCATTATATTTTGGTTAGACGCAAATCTGAGTTTTTTTCTTCGCAGATCGTACTTGGCTTTTGATATCTTCTGTTTTCCATATGTTTAGTCTGATCAATTGTTTTGACAGCTTCAATATTCATCAGTCTATCATTGTGATTCTGTTTTCAAAGCTTTACAGCGCTTGTGTTTCTGATCGTTTTGTACTTCTTCAAGTGCGATTTTTGTTGTTAATTATTTGGTTATTTAAATAAGAAAAATGAATAAAGGATGAGTAAATATTTTGCTTTTTACTTGCTGCTCTGTGATTTGATTGACATAACTGCCTCATTCTTTGTTGATCACTTGATTCTTTTTAGAACTTATAAACTATACTATGTAATTGAATATTTGTATTCCAAATTAATTGGACTGTTTCACTTATGGATTTTTACAGCAAAAGGTTTTGTGTATCACAATATTTCTCACAGTTTATCATTTGTGAAAATAAATGGATGAATTTTGCTGTGTACTCTACACTTTAACTTGCAATTTTTCCGTGTTGCTGGTTCTGATTATCAACATGGTTGACTGTCTTCTAATTTTGATAAGGTTCTTGTACTGTGGAATGTAGATGGATTGAAGTTGTCCTGTTTTTTTTTTTTTCTAATAGTATTATTGGATGTCAGGGTTATATATTTGTATTCTGTTCCAAGTTCTATGTATATCATATTGTGTTGACCAGAAACACATCAACATCTTCAAAACTGTATGTTGGTTTTATCAGTAACAAAAGGGTTTTTGCAGATTGTGCTTTCTTTTTTCTTTCTAGTGGTCGATACCCAATCATGATTTTGGTGAATGCCTTTGCTGAATGCTATTGTGATCCCATTTGATAAATTTATGAACCTTCTTTGACATTGGTTATTTTTTGTCAGGAAGCTGCCATGGTTGATCAGGTCCAACACCCCACAATCTTGGACAAGGTTGCTGGTCAGCTCTATCTCCGTTCTAGTCTTTCATCTAGTATCAAGAGTTATGATGGAGCCGTCCGTCATCCTGCACTCTATCAAAGACCCTCATTTGGGAATTACTCAAATGCTGCATTGCAGTATCCAGTGATGCCTGGTTGCAAAACTACCATTGATGTGTCTGCTACTGCAGCAACACCCGCCTCTCCTGTTTTTGTTGCAGCTCCAGCAGAGAAAGGAAATTTCATGATAGACTTTCTCATGGGTGGTGTTTCAGCTGCTGTCTCCAAAACTGCTGCTGCCCCCATTGAACGGGTTAAGCTGTTGATTCAGAACCAGGATGAAATGATCAAATCTGGAAGGCTTTCTGAGCCCTACAAGGGTATTGGTGATTGTTTTAAGAGAACAATGCAGGATGAGGGTGTTGTTTCACTGTGGAGAGGCAACACTGCAAATGTCATCCGCTATTTCCCCACCCAGGTAAGTTATGTTGTAGTCATTTTTCAGTATCTTCCAAATGTGTTAATAGTTAATATTGTATGGGATATTGATTTTGCTGTTTGAATCCTATCAGGCATTGAACTTTGCATTCAAGGACTACTTCAAGAGGCTTTTCAATTTTAAGAAGGATAGGGATGGTTATTGGAAATGGTTTTCTGGCAACTTGGCCTCTGGAGGTGCTGCTGGTGCATCATCTCTGTTGTTTGTTTACTCTCTTGACTATGCCCGTACCCGTCTCGCAAATGATGCAAAGGCTGCGAAGAAAGGTGGTGAAAGACAATTCAATGGTCTTGTTGATGTCTACAGGAAGACATTGGCGTCTGATGGTGTTGCTGGTCTTTACCGTGGTTTCAACATCTCATGTATTGGAATCATTGTGTATCGTGGACTATACTTTGGAATGTATGATTCCCTCAAACCTGTGGTTCTGACAGGAAAATTGCAGGTTAGTTTTTTCCCTTATATTTTATTTAATCCAATTCTTATAACTGTTCAGTGTTTTTATTATGTTAAATTCTAGTTTTAGATCATAAGACTAAGAAGCTTCTTCAAATTTTTATTTAATGTCTTGGTATTTTTATTTGGTACCACTTATTTTATGAAAACAATCACTTATTTTTTAAAATTTCCTTAAGAAGTTTCTCTATGAAATCTCAGTTTTTTGTTGTAGTCCTTTTAAATATTTTTGTTAGTTATGATTGTTGCATACTTGGTTTCTTAAAACTAATTTTTGTTACAATGCTGCCGCTGCTTAGTGGTAGTGGTAATATGTCATGCATTTAATCATTTCATGTTAGTAATCATTTTGAAGTTACATGTAATATAATAGTTATATATGTATGTCACATAGTGGTTACTTAATACTCCGTTATTTTTTATAAGAAACAAAATTGAACATTTTTTTGATTTTTTTTTTTATAAGAAACAAATTATAGATTAAAGATGTATTAATTGTTAAATTTTTTTTATATCTTTTTTTTATTAGTATTATTAAATATACAAATTACTAATTATACTATTTAATATTATGAATATTTTTAAAATAAAATTTATATTTATAAAAAATATATCTGACTTGACTTAATTGTTTTGATGATTTATTTTTTTTGTTTTTTATAAAAAGAATTGGAGGCAGTTATAAGGAATATTCTAAGAAGTTTTGAAACTTGTGAAAACTAAACTAAACAAAGAAATTGAAAGACCAAAATTGAACGAATAAATTAAACTAAAACTTTATATCCATTTAATTATGTTAATACAGTGTTTTTAAATCATAAAACGGAAAGGCTTCTTCAGTTTTGTAACAATTTATTGTAAGCTAATACAATTTTATTTGATGATTGCAGGATAGCTTTTTTGCCAGTTTTGCTCTAGGATGGCTCATCACCAACGGTGCAGGTCTAGCATCATACCCAATTGACACTGTTAGAAGAAGAATGATGATGACCTCTGGTGAAGCCGTGAAGTACAAGAGTTCTATGGATGCATTCGCACAAATCTTGAAGAATGAAGGTGCCAAGTCATTGTTTAAGGGTGCTGGTGCCAACATCCTTCGTGCTGTTGCTGGTGCTGGTGTGCTTGCTGGTTATGACAAGCTGCAGGTGCTTGTGTTCGGCAAGAAGTATGGATCTGGTGGCGCATAATTTTTTTCAGCGTCTGAGTAATTTTATTTTGTTTTAGATGGCGATGAAAATCCTTTTTAAGTTCCGAGAGTTTAGACTAATTGCTTCAGCAAATTTTGTTTAATAAATTTACTCGATGGGATATTATCCCAAAACCATTTTTAAATTTCGGATGGAAATTCAACATTGAAAGCATGATTTATTTGAGTGACAGGATAAACAACCGTCACTTTGGGAATTGGGATTCCATTGTTTATCTTTTTATTAATGATTAATATACTGTTCTAGATTGTCTTGTTTCTGGAATAAAATGCCCGTAACCCATGATTGATATTTTATTCTTGTATTACCAAATATGTAGGTTACGGGGATTTTTCCTTCCGCTCATCTATTACTTTATATTATTAGGCAAATAGCGGGATTACTAATTACTAAATTTTTAATTACGACGGCATATGTTAAGCTTTTACTGTATTTCTTTTCTATTAAATTATTAATTGTTTAATGTTCGTTCGTTCTTTGCTTTGTTACATTTGTTCTAAATGCGTTATGGCCCGCGCCTACCTGATTCTTGGAAATATTTGTAAAACAAATGAGTATGCTCTGATGTTTTCTTAAACAACGGGGGTGGAGAGGGAGCGGTGTCGTAGAAAAGCTAAAATTATTCATCCAAGAAGGATGAATCGTCTGTGAACGCTAAGTTTTCCAATTTGAAGATGTGCTCTGAAATGTGATTTTGGGGTTATGTTTAGTTTCTATTATTTTGTCCAGCAATTTGAGATAATAGTAGTTGAATTCATTGTTTGCTTGACTTTGGCTTGGTTTTGGTTTCTAAACTTGCATAAAAACTTGTTAAATATATATATAACTTCATATTTTATTAAAAAAAAAATCGAATGAACATAGTAATCAATACTTTCGCAAAATATATACATGACTTTTTAGTGATTTTATTCATTGTAATAACTAAAGCTGGATTGAAGAGAAAATTTTTTACAAGGATCACGTTGAAAAGTAATTTGATTATTTATTATTTTTTTATTGTATATCTATTTAATTATAGTTAATAATATTAAAAAAATATAATAATTATGTTATTTTTATTTATCAATAGCATCACATTTTCACAATGCTCTTTTTTTTTATTATTATTGTTAGGGTTGAGCTAAAAAAATCTACCTAATACCATTGCGTATGAAATTTAATTAGATAAATTGGGCAGATGAGAAATTGATCAAATTTTTTTGATAAAAATAAATGGATTTACTTGGTCGCCAGGTGAGAAAATAAATGGATTTACTTAGGTGCAGGTGATCAGGCTCAAGTGCAAATATTAAAAACCAACAATATTTAAATTTGATGGATTAAAAAAAAACAATAAAATAAAAAAATTAAACATTTTAAAATCTAAAAGCTAACCCTAATTCTCACATTTTGCTATTTTGTTTATGGCTTTGTGTGAAGTACTGCCACTCTTCTTTGGGCCTCTCTGTCAACACATCTTGCTCTCTGTAATCTTTATTCTCTCTTTCACTCATTCTACTATACCCACTATCTCAGCCAGCGATTGTGTTTGTTCTCGAGCTCTCCACTGTTATTTCTCTATCTATTACACTGACACAAATATTTTTCTTTTTTTCTCATCTATTGATCTTAACACAAAAAATCCTAAACATACCGTCGTTGTTTGGTTACTCTTTTATTGACTTCTCTTTTGAGAGTTTTGTTGATTTTCTATTGGGAGATTTTGTGATTTGCATTGGTAAGTCAAACAATTGGTAAGTTACACTACTCTTATAGGTTTTTATTTTTAGATTATTTTTATTGATCTTTTTAATTTTTGGTTTAGGATTTATTTTTCTTTTATCTGATTTTTTTTATTTTGCATGTTTTAGTTGTGTTGAGACATTGATGATGGAGATTAAGGTTCAAACTTTCTTAGTTATTCTTTTATGCTCTTTGTAATTTGCATTGAATTTGCATTTTTATTGACTTAGACGGTGGATTCATAGCTATACTTAATTGCCTCTTATTAATTGTTAGAGGCTTGCCTGCACTGCATGAAGTAGCCTAGTAAACATTGTCTTTTTTTGGAAGGTAGCTTAATTTGATTATTTTAATCTTTAAATTTATCATAGATTTAAATGTTTAAATAATTAAGCTTATATTCTTATTTTATTTTGCAAATTCTATCATATGAATGTTCTTGAAATGATGAATCTTTGTTTTCAATACAATTCATTTAAAAGACCAATATGTCATTATGTTTTTTTAATACATGTCAATTTTTGTATATTTATGATTCATGATATGATCATTTATTAATAGGATTGAATTATGTGTAATAGATTAATAGTTCAACAGGATCGGGTTAAGGTCCATTTCATTTTTCTTATTATAGATGCACAATTTTAAGTGTTGTTTATGCTTATTTAGATTTCAATTTATAAAAATAACTATAATTTAAAAATACACTTTTTTTATTAGGTCCAAAAAATGATCTTTGTAACACCTTTAATTTTGTTGTCCTTGTATGGAAAAAATAGAAATTTTAGTACCGGGTATCTCACTGTAGCGAGATATCTTTGTAACATCCCATATTTATTTAAATATTTTCTTCTTCATAAATATAGGAATATCATCGTTTATTTCAGTAAAATAAGTAAAAGATAAATTAGTAGATAAAAGATCTCTTTGCATGTAAGATTTGAATTACTAAAATTGAGTAAAATCTTAGAACTTCATACATACACATTTAATTATTTATAACCTACAGTTTTAAATGAAAACTAAAATGCTATATTAGCAATTAATTACTAAATATTACACATATAATTTTTTTTAGAAATCATCCTTTACAGTGAATTTATTAAAGTGTTTCAATTCTAAATTAAAAACTTTCATCAATATAATTACATATGATAAATAACTTTGAATAGAACTTATTCAATAATATCTTTACAATTCTTCCTTAAATTAAACTCTATAGAACTGTTTTCTTCCTACCATTCCTTGCGAGTATGACTCTAGAATGGATCAACCTTCTTTACCAGAAAAATAATTATAAGAATGAGCATTCTTTGCCCACTAAAATTCTTAATTCATAAGATAATGAAATCAATAGAGAAAGTATTTTCAAAGCTACATATAATAAATTAGAAATATTTTATTTCTAACAAATTGATTTATCATTTGATTAATTTGTATATGTGAATACCCAATTTTATCCGGATCCTTTTCAAAAATAAATTTTAAAATAAAAAATTAAATATAATAATTTGATTTTTTAAAGAGGTTAAAAAAATATATTAAAAAAATAATTTAAAATTAAAATTTAAAATTTTAATTTTTAAATATAAAATTATATTTAGAAATGGTCAAAGTAGTTAGTAGATTTTTAGAAAAATAAATGAGAAAGAAAAAAACTTATTACTGGTCATCAAAAAATAAGAGAGCCTTTATTAAAATATATGATTTTAGAAAATGCCTATGAATAGGAAGTTTAGGTCTTTAGAGAGGGAGGACTTTTAGGTAGACACCTTTTATTTTTTATGGGGACACTTTGAGAGCAAAGAGAAAAAGAGAGAGAATTCAAGAGAGAGAGCTCATGAAACGAAGAGAAAGAAGAGATTTAGGAGAGAGAACATATCTAGAAGGTTGAAGGAAAAGTCTATTCAAAAATCCTAAGTCATTACAAATGAGTCGACAAAAATAGAATTTATATTTTATTTTTTCGGTAAGAATTACTATTTCTTTTTTCTTTTTGTTGTTCTTTTTCTTTTACTCATCCTATCTCTATATGTTTTCTCTTTTGTCTATATTAAATTTTTTTTCTTTTGCGAACCCTAGTTTATCTAATCTAAAAACTTTTCCTTTTCTTATAAACTTACAAAATTTCTAATTTTCTTTTTAACTCTAAAATTTTTCTTTTTCTGAATCTTAATTTTTTTTCTAACATGGAAAATTTGTTCGTTTTGTAAGAAAAAAAAACAAAAAAAACTAAAAGCCTAATTGTTTCTACCCAAAAAATCATTCCTTTTGCAAAACCCTAAAGAATATAATTTTTCTCCAAAAACATGTTTTCAATGATAAATCCTCTTTCTTTTTTGCAAACCTAAAAACCCTAATGTTCTTTTAACCCTAAAAAAAAAGCTAACCTTTTCTAGTCTTAAAAAACATCTTTTTGCAAATCTTAAAAACTCATCCTTTCTTAATGCTAAAATTATTTCTTTTGTTCATTTTTTCCATTAAGATATATGTATTTTTTTTTGTGTTCTAAACAAAAAGGTGAATTTATTTCTTAAAAAATAAAAATTAGTATTCAAAAATATTTTAAATCCACGCAACAGTCAAACAATTTTGATAGAGTGGTGGATCCACTTTCAACGTTGTTTGAATTGTAAGAGTTTATTGAGTATCCGTGTGCTAACTTAAACCATGTGCAGGAATGAATTTATTTAAAAAATAATAATAAAGAAAAATTAAGTTTTTCACAAAAAAAAAAGAAAGAAGAATCTTTGAAACTTATCCAAAATACAATTTTCAAAAAAAGAACTACGTAACATCTTTAATTCTTCCGTTACATACAGAAGATACATAGAAGCGGAAACCTGACCCGTCAAATTAAAAAAAATTAATTTTTTTTAGGTCTAAATTATTTTTTAGAAAATTTTAAACTAATAGTAATTCAAAGTAATTCTAAAAAAAATAAAATTATTGTCTTTTTTTTGAAAAAATTAAATAAAAAATATCAAGATAAAATGTTTTAAGGTTGTTTTCTCTAATACAAAAATAAAAAAGGGAATAATATTCTATAAATAATCCTTTATCTCAATTCAAATTAATTTTTTAATTATAATTCTTTAGTTAAAAATAAAAAATATAAAAAATGAATTTTTAGCTAAAGAAAAATAAAAAAATAAGTTAGATTTTATTTAAATTTATTTAATATGAAAATTACAAATGAATAATATTTTATAAATAATCCATTTTCCAATTCTAATTAATTTTTTCAATTCTTTATTTAAAAAATATATAAAAATGAAAAAAAATCAAGTTAGATCTTATTTAAATTTATTTTTAAAAAAAGAATAACATTTTTATAATTAATTCATTCCTTTAATTTAAATTTTTTTAATTGTATTTCTTTATAAAAAAAATATAAAATTAAAACCTAAAAACAATTGTTAAAATTAGAAACAAGGCTAAAAAATAATGACCAATTTGAAAATATTAAGAAGAATATTAATGGTTTTCCTTTAAAGTGAAATAAATATTTTTAAGTAAAACAATTTTTACACAATTAATTAGAATGGTAACTGTTTTAATTAACGGACGTTGTAAGGTACTAATACCTTCCTTACATGTAAATGACTCTCAAGCTCAAATCTGGTTTTGAAGATTTTTTTTTAAAAAAAATTCTAATATTTTTTTAATAAACTTTAGTGGCAACTCTTTATCATTGCCGTCCCGTCGTGACCCCGATTGCAATAGATGGCTACTCCACTG